ACTGCACTGCTGGTGACGTTTAACTGAAATCTGCTTGCTGTTACTCAAGTTACTATTGACAAGACACAGGAAATTCTGCATAACACATGTTCAGCTGGTTTAATCTTACAGTAAAACACAGGGCTGTCCCTGCCTGTCATTTTTACAAATCAGTAGATTTCTAATTAACCATCACAAGTAAACCTCAAATTGCTTAAATCCCACAGGAAAAGCCTGCAACATTTCAGCTAATTTATCATTTTCCTTGACCCTCACAAGACAATGCACTCTAATGCCGCCAACAGCATAACTTACCTCAACTAACTTGTTGGCATGTTCACGGAAAACTTGAGCGTATTCCTTCACTTCTTTCTCGTTCCCACTCTTTGCAGCCTCAATAAGAACAAGTAATGGAACATTGGTCTCCAGGAATGAGTCAGATATATGATCCATCACTGCCTTCCGTAGCTGTGTTAAAAGAAAGTGGAGCAGTAAGTAACTGAAGTGTTAATACACATTTCCAGCATATTGATCAGCGAGTTATAGTTGAGTATATGTGTCATATCTCAAAGTTGTACAACATTTTTTATAGTATTTATGGATTTGTAGCATTTTTTTTTATTTGTAGGAATTTTTGGTAGCACTTAAATGTCCATAACTAAAGGCTTGGTTCTGCAATCCCTACTCACTCAAGCAATTCCACTGACTTTCATGGGACTACCCAGCTGGACAAGCACTACGCACATCAGGGATTGCATGTCTATGGCAGCTGGTAGGTACCCAACACTTTTAAAAGTCAGGTCAGGTCTTTTAGGAGCCTAAATGTAGATTTAGGAGCCCTAACCTTAGGCAATCATTTTTAAAATATTGGCCAGTGTATTTCCAGACCTCATGTAAAATCTGTACTCAGTGTTACACTTAGCACATGCACGGTGTCTCATTTTCATTAGCGAATCTCTAGTGTGAACAATCTGAAAACTTTCCTATGCATTTCATAGGCAGGATTAACAAGTGTATAGAAAATGTATTCTTAATGAAAATACACAAGCCATTAAAGATTAAACACCTGTTCTTCCTTAAAAAAAAAACCCAGATATTTGGGGGGGAAAAAACAAACAAACACAGCCCACTACTTTAAGGGTGATGGCACAAACTTGCCCTCTGCCATTCTGCAAAGTACTAATCAATGT